GTCGAAATTGTTAAAAAAAAACATTAAAATCTAATTCTGCCAAGCCTCCCGATAAGGGTGTTAGCTGTGATCACATTAGAAACTAACTACTTGCAATCCCCTTATTTCAAAAAGCATGAAGCTTTTTTTGAGTTACTGAAGCTTCAACACATCTCAAACAATATACATTAGATTCACAGCCCCATCTCAAAAGGAGTCAAAGAGTTCCAAGGCTGAGCTCATGAACACTGTGGGCCAGATCCTCAGCTGGTGTTAAGTCAGCATAGCTCCATTAACGTCAGTGGAGCTCTATGAATTTACAGCCGCTGAGGATCCAACCTCGCGTGTCACCCATAACCAGACCTTCATTAGTCTAGAGCTCGGAAACTCTGGAAAATAAGTGAAATGAATAATGGAAACTGGGAGACAAAGGTAGTGGTGGTAACAGTCCTCTGACAATACTCTCCTTCTGTTTCCTAATACATTTGTCCACCACAGAGCTGAGTGCCTCAGAGACTGTTTTGAGTGGATGGGAAGTTTAACCTGAACTGTACTCTCAATATAAAAGAACCGGTTGGCAGATCTCAGTCCGGTTCCTAGTGAATGAGTGACCACATTTACCAAAACCACCATTCCACAGGCAGCATTGCAAGAGCAAATCACAGACTGACTGGGCCCATGAAGACCAAATACCCTTCTGGTCCCAACAGCTGGACCATTGATAACAGGGTTAAGACACATGGGCAGGGCAGCATGTCCTATGTTGTATCTCTTCCATAGAGAACTCAAGAACCTGAATTTCCAGGGCTGTTGAACTGGTGCCTTCTACCTTGTCCAAGGTCATGAAAACACCTGGACACATTTTTTTTCCCTTCCAAGTGACAGTTTGATCAAGATCCTAAATACAAGACGACAGTGCTACAAACCCACACATCAAAGGAGACATTTTTATGCTGCTGCAATGGAATTTTATTTTGAATCTTTTAAAGGAAGCAAGTCCTGCACAGCTCTATTCTTTTCATCAGACCTAAGAGGGTATTAATATAATAACGGCATGACTATATAAACAACCAGCACTGTTTGGGCCAACAGCTTCCCCAAACAAATCCTTAAGGAATCAGATATGGTCCCAAGTTTGATCACAAAAACAACTGCAAACAGAAACAGCTAGTGTTAAGCTCCATCATTCAGACAGCATCTACAGAGGTCAATGGAGTTAGGGATAAATCCATCCCTGGTTTAACTCCATTGAAGTCAATATAGACATAGCTGGGATGAATTTGGCCCTGTCTATTGCTTTTAATATGCATGTACCTGTGAGTCTGAAACACAGCAGGAACTGATTCATGCTATGGCTTAGGGCTATTGGCAAAGCAATCAGTTATGCCGTACTTTTTAAGAAGCTGATCATGAAGTAGTAAGTTGGATGATCCAATAACTTCTCAATCTCACTGTAAATTTGGAATGTCCTAATGATATGCAGAGCCCAGAGCATTTGGCGAGGTTAAGTCCTCCCAAGAAGAGCTCTGGAGGTGGCATTTGCAAGGCCCTGGGCATACCCACTGAGGCAATAACTAGGTTATTCCACCTACGACTGCTCCACAGTACTGCAGTGAAGTTTATTAGGCCAAGTTTCAGAAGTTAAGCTTCAGCCAACAGGACTGATAGCTTATTTACCACTGTCATCTATATAAAGAAGAATTTTGACACATTGTTAAATGATAGCACATTTAGATAAGTCAAGCTGTCATATCATTTAATGGATGTCTAAACTCCCTCTGTAGCTGATATGTAAAATTTATGCACTTCAGAATATCATAAGGTTATAATATTTTAATCACATCCACATTTTTTCTAAACTTTGAACAGTGAAAACATTCCATCAAGCACAACGCATTCAGAAGATTCTTGGCACTCGGTGAATGGCAAAACAGTCTGAACTAACTAGATGCCTCACATTATCTTACCACTTAAGTTTCTGTGGAACGCTCCACAATGCCGACAGCCTCAAGCCCTGGTTCGCACAGACACGCAAAAATGCCTGCCTTCCTGAAACTAAATGCACAATATTTGATTTGATGAACTCTCTCACGCAGTGTAACCAGGGCAATAGTAGGTATATATCCCCCAGTTTGGAGCGGTCTTTAATATCCAAAATCAGTAGTCCACAATGCTTCCTACTTCTGCCTTTTTAAATGTAGAATGGGCTGCATCTAGGATGCAGACAGCATATAATCCATACACTGGTATACCGAACATAATAAAACAGAGCAAATTAAAACAAGAAAAATCATAAAGGTATGAATCCTGTTATGACTATTATACACAAGAAAGCCGTAAAAAAATACAGCATTAGTAATGTACACTATAAAACAATCTCATAACCAAATGAAATATGCCTGGCATTATCTTTGATAGAATTTTATCTTTTCTCATTTCCGAGCCTACTTGCTGTAAAAAGGCTCAATGCCATTTTGATCAAAGTGCTAGAGAGTATCCCATTTTCTGCATGTTTTACATATGCCCACCATTTGTCAAGGTTGTCCAAACTTTGCCATTCCATGGGCGTTCCAGGCAAACAGGCCTGTGTGTACAAATTTTAAAAATGCATTTGGGGGAATAATAAATGGATTGTTTCAATTTTATTTAATAGAGGGCATTAGGCCAAGCTGGCACAAGGTCACCTTTCCCACCACCATCTGGGGGGAGGTGCCAGAAGTGCTGCCTGGACAGAAGACAGCAAGAACTCTCTCTACAGTTCAGCACCCAGACCCAGCTACCCATTCATTCAGAACATCTGAGAATTAAAGCTATACACCTCTTTCCAAGGAAGCACAATTAAACTGAAGAGTCAAACTAGATCTTCCAAAATCCGCCCCCGCCCCAGCTCAAAAGAGTTTCTTTTTTCTTTCACACCAAAAACTAGTTGTAAATATTTTTTTAAATACAGGTTTGTGCAAAAGTCATCAGCAGAATGGATTAAGGAATCCTTTGTATCCCATGTGCTTAGGATGCTAATCCCCTTCAAACCAAAAGGCCATAAATGAACAGTCATGGACAGCTGACTGGCTGTAGTACCTGTATTACTTTGAGGGTTGGGTATCACAGATGTACTAAGTAATCTGCTTAAAAGCCAAAATGTATTAAATGCTGGAACTGTTGATACATTATTGAAGTGCCATAAATCGTATTTAAATTTGTTTACTCCCCTATGAAACATGCCGCATTTTAAAGTCTGTAATATCCTACAGGGATAAACCTATTTAATATCCATGTAAATGAGCATCTCTCCTTTTTTAGGAGTTCCAATTTAGACTTTATCTCATTATGTGCCACATACAGAAAGCTATATAATGACAAAATGTAAACATCTATTTTTTCAGGTCAACTGTCCTCTTGTAAATGTTAAAGGGCTTATCGTTAATTTCACAGACCAGTGGCACTACAGCTGTATACAGTATTCTGTGACCTAAACAGAACCACAAAGGATCTCTTTCCTAATGCAAGATAAGTGTATCCATCACAAGACTAAAACACCGACAATCAGATCTATATGCACCTTGAGTAAGGTTAGAAGATTGAATATTAGTTGGCTAATGAAAATTTTGTTAACTGACATTCAGGGATGAATGAACCCAAATACCACTGCTGTAAATCTGCACACTAAATTCTCAAGACCTGAATAACAATAGGACCACAGAAGGGCTTCAGCCAGCCCTGAGCAGATTTGATTCTCCTTCTGCTTTCTCCCATATCTGTTTGCCATGCTCTTGTCATTCCTTATGTTACAGAACATCAATCATAAATAAAGAGTCTATGCCCTTAGAGTGCCCAGGTCTGATTCACAAACATTAGCAGGGAATACAATTACAATTGCCTTAACACCAAATACAATACAGCCAACCTAGAACAGGGGGAGGGGGAACCAGCCTTTTATTTTTAAGACATTTCTTTTTTTGTTGCTGCAGCGTTTTAAAAGGCAGAAAATACAGGTAACAGACAGTTTGGTTTGTTTCTTTGCTACATGCTCATGGTCAGTAAACCTGTGAAAAAATGCAAGTCACTTGCAGCTTATGTTTTAAAAGCACCTTGCCTCGCTTTTGAATTCATTTGATGTGAACGCCCGTTGTTGGGGCTCAGGGCTGGTACCACTTGCCTGAATGTAAGAAACTTAACAAGATTTGCATCTAGGGGGAAAGCAGCCCTTTTATCTTCAGCCTGATTATCTTTTATCTTAGCTAATGTCATGGCAAACAAGTCAAGATACGATAATAGGTCTGTTATCTGCATCATTTCCCCTCAACTTCTGCCTGCTGTGATTGCGACTTCAAAGCTTTAAACATTTATGGAGTATTCCGTGCAGCCGCAAAGACAACACAGTTGCTTCCTAAGCAATGTATGAAGTTAATCCCTAAAACGCACCCCTGAAAACAGTATAGACAATACCTACAACACCCTGGGTAGACCTGATCTAGGGCCACCCCCGGGCAGCCAAGCCGAGCTCTCCCTTCTCCCCAGCGCTTAGGGAGAGGAGAAAATGGAAATCACCCCCCACTGAAAAGTTGAACATCTGCATTTGCTGAATTCACCTGCCTGGCAATTAGCTCAGATCCGAGGCCATTCAAGTCCTAACGCAGCCGGGGAAAAAACTTCCAGCCCGGCACCGGGAGGCGAAGCCCGCTACGGCGGGGCTGGGGAGAGAGCGGGGCGGACAGTCCGGGAAGGCAGGTGCCCCGTTTCCACACCCCCGGCCCGGGCCAGGGGGGACAGTCCGCGCCGGGCCGTGCCCCGGGCAGCCCGGAGAAGTTGCGGGGCGGGCGGGCGGCAAGTGGCCGGGCGGGCGGAGCGCGCCCCGAACAAAGAGCAGCGGCGGGGGATCAATTCCCGATACCGATCGATGCGGGCAGCCCCCGCGGCGGCGCCCCGAAACGCCCGGGGAAGCGGGAGGACGGGGAAGGGGCTCTCCCGGGCGCGCCCCGCGGCTCCCCCGCGCCGCGCCGCCCGGCGCTCCGGCCACTCACCTGCAGCCGGCGCAGATCCAATTGCTTCCAATATTGAAACATCGATCCCACATCGGCGGCCATCTTGGGGGCTATCGGAGAGCGGCAGGGAGAGTTTTTTTTTTTTCCTTCCCCCGCCGTGGCTGGCCCCAATATCCGGCCTGGCCTCCCCCCCCCCCCCGCCCAGGCCCCCCCCCCCGTCCCCGGCCGCCCCCCGCCTCCCCCTCCGCGCCGCTGCCTCAGCCGCCGGGGCTGCCCTGCGAACCCCCCTCCCGCCGCCGCCGCCCGCCCGCGAACAAGAGACGGGAGCGAGGAGCCGAGCGGAGCGCGGCGGGGACGGGGACAGGGACGGGGGGAGGCGGCGGGCGGGCGTGCGAGGGGCCGGCGGGCGAGGCGGCTTCGCCCCCCGCCCCCTTCCCCCAAAGTCCGGGCGCGAGGCGCCGCGGGGCCGCACTTGACTTTGGCTTCTCCCCCCCCCCGCGAAACTTATCGATAGTGACGTCACGGGCGGATCGATGCAGGAGGCGAAGGAAGGAAGCGCTTTGGGGGGCGCGGGGGCGGTGGTGTCATTTATTCGAGGGGGGGGGCCCACCCCGCCCCCCCCCCCCCGCATAACAAAGTTAGAATTGGTCGGAGTTTGCTTTTATCCCCAGGGGCCCCGGTGCGGTCCTTGCTCCCGCAGCCTGTGTCTATAAACGAGCCCGGTCCCTAGGAGGGGCACACACCGCATCCCCAGAGCGGCTGCACCCCCAGAGCGCACCCATCCCTGGCGGGATGCAGGGATCAGACAGGACACGCGGCTGGAGGGACTCCCACCTCTCACTCCCTTGTGCATTGGGGGGCTGTACTGCCCTGCTGGGGGGCGCGAGGTGTCTAATGCACCCAAGCGGCAGCATCGCTCTGTGCAGCGGGGTGGGGGGCGCTTGCACAGAGCGGATCAGGCTTCAGCTGCAGGGGATATAACACCAGGCTAGAGGTGGCGGCTGGTCTCGAACTGGTTTGCCTTTTGCATGGGAAGACGGGCAGTTTCGATGCCAAAGCTCGTCCTGCACTGTGCCTGTTGCCAATAATCCATATATATCCTCCAGGCGAGGGTGGGCAGATCAGGCAGGCGCTGATTCTGTGCCCCACCGGGGAGAGAGCATTAGAGCTGCAGCAGTTTTGGTGTGTTCTAGGAAGAGCCATCATTAAAAGAAAAAAAGTAGATTAGTTGATGGAGAATTATATTTTAGGATCAGCCAGCGGCACTTACATCATTCTTGCATGGGGACGATAGACCCAGGCACTGCTTACTAAAAGGATAAAGTTCATAAGAGTTATAAAGCTAACAAATTACTGGTGTTTTCTATGCCCTCTTCCCTAAGCTTTATGCCATGTGGAAGGAGGTCGAGGTTATCACCTGCTTTTAAGCTATTTAAAAAATTTGTTAATGTCATGCAAATAAGTGGTTTATCATCCCTTTGATACTGGATTGTCTGAAGGTTTAGTTCTGAATCATTCAGTCTGTATATTGATTTAATAGACCATGCAAATTTTCCCCTACTACCTTTACATGCCTTTTCCATGGGAAGGGCTAAAATGTCATTTATCAAGACACAGCCAGCCCCTCTTCTCAATCCCATTCCCTAGAATTTGCAGACAGTAATGATTTTAAACTTAGTAAGGAAATTCAAATTGCACTGGTTTTTCCTAATAAAGACTATGATGTGTTGGTGCTTTTTAAAAAATTCTTCGCTCCAGCCAAGTTCACAGTTACATTTCCATCTCCCCTGGACAAAATTAATTTATGTAGGTTTCATAGATGTGTGGCATTACAATTTGTCTACTTACAACGCCTTCCTATAAGCACTTGAAATAACTGTCGCTTTTTTATAGCCCTATAAGAGACAGTTGTAAAATCTGATATGTGTATATGATCTTGCAGGGTAATTTAATTTATTTTTAAACAAATCCATGTAAAAAGGTGACTTGCTTTCCGCTAGCTGCTAAAGAGAAGACTGCTTCCAGACAAAGCTTTTTCAGACAGCCAGTAAACTTTTTCAGATTTTCAAACCGACATGTTCTGCACCTTTGACCCTAATAGGAATTGCCACAGCAAACATGCTTACAGCACAGCAGCAAGAAAAATCCAATAATTCAGATTGTTTTAAGGCTGATATTTTTAAAACACCTTAATGCCGCTATTCTCTGAAGAATTCAAACAACTTTAATGCCAGAAAGTGGCAGTGCAGCTAAAGCAGATACATTAAAAAAAAAAAAGTATGATAGTCTGTTTTTGCTGAAACATATTAGCTTTGTTTATTGCCTTTTTTTGTTGGTGCTGTTCGAGGATTTTCAAATATCTGCTCCAGATATTTTAGTACAAATACAATTGTACAGCAGCTTGTACTGAACGGTATTGCATGTGAAGATTCTTTGAACATTACATTTCTGTTTCACTATGTGTAAATAATAAATTAAAGTTCTAGGAAAACATACCCATCTTTATACTGAAAAGATATTATTGATGTTGGTTGTGTCAGGAAGATTGTTTGCATGTGTAAAGAAAAGTGCTACATTGTTATTTTATTCGAATATTTTTTCCTTTGACATTAACAAAAGTGAACAGTTTTTGGTATCCAAGGGCACTAGTTTCTGCTTGAGACATAGGATCTGTATCTATTTTTAAGAGAACTAATAGTGTCCACACACACAGGTAACAATGTATATGAAAAAAATTAAGTCTAATGATTTATTTCTAAGTGACAAAGAAAATTCGGGCAAAAATGAGGCATGTACAAGCCAGGGAGGAGTACTAAGGATAGAGTGTAGCTTTATCCAGAAAACATATGTAGGCTTAAGTAAACATGCCTTTAGAAAATTCATAGGCTTGCACAAAGATGTTCTGAGATAATGGCAGGTCCTTAACCACAAACAGATAATGATATGCGAATTCCCCTGCATCAAAACCGAAACAAAAGAAAATGTCACCCAGGCACACTATACAGCCTCAGACAGGCCACCAGAAGCCTGGCTACATGATAGACAACTCCTAAGCCTCCAACGGAATTCATTGTGAAGGCACAAGACCAGAATGGAAGTGTATTTTCCATATGATGACACACAGGTATGCCTCAGACAGCTGCTATCTAAAGATGAGGTGATGACAATTATGTATATGATTTGGAGCAAGAAGGAGAAGCTGAAAATAAACATCACAAAGAAATAATAGCTGCAGCCTTGTTTTGTTCTGGGATCCTTAGCCCACCCCTCCCAGCTGACGGTATGCCATCCCTAATTGCAAGGATCTCCCACTAGGATCTGCCCCCCCCCACCCCGGCGAGCTTGTAAAGTGACCATTTTTTCTAAACAGGGAAGATGCATATAGGAAGCTGCGCATGAGTTACTACTTCAGCATGTGGCCTCTAAGCAGTAGAACACACTTGGCACCTTGAACTACACAGAGAGTCTCAAAAGGCCAATTTTTGTGGCCCTTGAGCAGAATGCCCGTGAAAGTCAGTAAGAATTTAACTTGAGCAATGATGGAAGTTTGGCCCATATGCTTGGTTCCCACTGGGGTGATGCAATCACTAGACCAGGCTACTTAGCGGTGAACAATGGCTGTAACAGTTACCTATGTCCTGGTAAATTTCAGTTTAAATTATTCTGCAAAGAGAGCAGTGTTCAGAAATGGAAGCCTTCAGCAGACGATCTCACTCCGGCCTCTGGAGTTAAGGAGACATCCTCAAACCAAATGCTGCTTAAGGGTTTCTCACAGGCTTAAAGTTCCTCCTGTGCATGCATGTTGGCAGAATCAGGGCCCAAGATATTTCCTGGTCACTCCTCACTGCAGTATCTAGATGCCAAATACCTGAGAGTGGAGAATTCACCTTCCCAATTTAGACCCCACTAAGCTGCTCGATCTAGAACAGAACTCCCAGCTTTTGGAGTTTCGTGTTCCATTGCGCTCTGGCAAGAAATGTGAGTTCTAGGCTGCTACAGGATTTACTAGGCTAGTTTTATTGCACCTGGTCACCCCAGCAGCAGTGCAGGAATTTCTGTCAGGCCAAAGTTGTTTTTATTTGCATTTCAAGGGGTTCTACTTGGTGTGAAAAGCAGGATTTTTAATTACATTTCCACTGAAAAGCAATGGTTTAAATTAAAGGGACAACTTGAAACAGAGTCCAGTTTTTAAAATGGAGTTAAATGTAGTTTTAGACCCTCCCCTCCCCCAGACCCCTGGCCAATTTTCTTGGTTTTACCATCCAGTTTTTCCTCTTTCCTGTTACACCACTTACACAAGGGAGACTCACCGGCAATACAAGGGTGACCAAAACTCACAAGACTCATGATAAAGTCATGCAAGTTGGTAACAGCACATGGGAGATTTGCCATTGACTTAATGGGGGACAGAAACAAGCCCCAAGCCCTGATCACCCAGTGAGGTGCTTAAGTAAGGTAACTTGGACCTAAATTAGAGCATGTCACATGCAAGTAATAGGTGCATCTCCATCTGAACTAATTCTAGATCCTGTTTGTGCCCAGCTCAGCCCTGAAAGTGGTGGAAGTTGCACACTCGAGCTTTAGGAGAGTGGAAATAAACGGGGGTGGGGGTGAGCTAGAGAGTATCTGTACCATCACCCTGACTTAGGGTTTGGGGTTTTGTAGGGTTTTTTGTCAGTTTAAGTGTAAAAGATTTTGGTTCCATCTTCCTCCTGCAGTCATGTTAATGAGGTCAAGCTAGATGCTATGGTGCCTCCATCGCAGGCGAATTGGTGCACTAGGAATATCTGACAGATGCAAGTCCGTCAGTACAGCTTAGCTCTCTCCACTTAGGGGCCTTTACGCCTCTCATTGACCTCAATCCACCAGTATAACCAAAGCCCTTGGGGGGCCATATCCTCAGCAGCTGTAAATCAGCCTACCTCTACTGCAGCCCAAGCACCTCCTCTGATTTACACCAGCGGAGGATCTGGCACTACGTGTTTATGTCGCACTCGACACCCTGGCTTTCCAACAGCACACAGCGTCAGCAACAGCTTTGCTTCCCTCCCATCCTAGCGAGCAGAGGGTAAGGAGGAAAAACTTCCGTCCCTCGCCCCATAG